ACTCCTGCAACATCAGCTAAAAAAATAATACATTAGATATGTATATTGTAGTTACGCTGGCTGCTTCTCATACAGGGTGAAAGCAAAAGAGAAAAACAATATTAAATGTGCTTTGAATCTATGTGGTTGTTTCTTTTTGTATCTCTATTCAAGGTGCTGAAACAATTGAGACCTATGTGTCTCTGTCCATGGTGCTGAAACATTCAAACCATTTCCTGTGTCTCTGTTCACGGTGCTGAAACATTCAAACCATTTCCTGTGTCTCTGTCCACAGTGCTGAAACATTCAAACCATTTCCTGTGTCTCTGTTCATGGTGCTGAAACATTCAAACCATTTCCTGTGTCTCTGTCCATGGTAATGAAACAACTGAGCCTCTCCATCTTTTTATGGCCTTTGTGTGTTTGCGTGTCTGAATTCTGAACACTGCATTGCATCAGAGCTGATTTTGAGCATCTGAAATCTCATGATAGACTGTTTACCTTAGTAAGCATGAAATGCTGAGTGTTTACTATGTTGAAAATGGTGAATACATTAGCAATACATAGAAAACCTACATCTCTATAACTATCTATTATCGCTGTCTCTCGCTATGTATGGTACTGAAACATTGCAACTGTGCTTGTTTCTTTCTTCAGCTACATTCAGACTGAGCTTCAAAGCTGTAAAAAAAACACAGTCCTACCCATTCATTTCTATAGGGGACTGCGTTCACCGCACACCGGCACAGCAGGGGGGCATTGGCAAAATGATACAGCCCCATGTTGTAAAACCATTGGATCTGGTATAACGTTGTCTGCACCACAAGGTGACATCATCCACCAAGACGCTGCATTGACAAATCACGCAATAGGGGATGATTGGATTGTGGATGCCCATGATAAGAACAATGTTGATTACCATGTTATCACAGTTATCACAAGCACTCACTGATATTCAGTCTCAAATTTGGACCACAGACCCCTTTGCGTTTCAACACACTCAGTCTCAACACCCGCTGTATTCATGACATTATCGTCTCATATGCTGTTGTAAACATCTTCTTTAGAAAATAAACCAGAGATATGTTCATACCTTGAGGAAGGAGAGGTTGCGGTTTCGATCAATGCTGGTAATCTCCAAATTGCCCATGACAACTTCACAATTCTCATATAGCTTCTTCAGAGTGCGGTACTGCTGGTCCAGGTCAGACAGAGTGCTCAACTTGTTCTCTGTGCCAGGGCAAACTAGAGACAGAAAAAAAAGTGTCACTATAGGGGCAATTTGATGGAGTGATTTAGCACATTAAAATATGATGACACAGTCAAAAATCCGGGGTAAACATTAGTGGCCTGTGCCAAAGATCCACACATTATAAAGTTAAAAAAGAAAAATATTAAAATGCAAGGAGAGCACTTTGGTGAAACATGAAGGAAAAGTACAGTAAAATGTATGTTTTTCAGCCGCTCATGACAATGGTAGTTATGTTTAAATGTCACCAAGCTAGCTGGCTTGATCACATACAGTCAGCTTTCATACTGTAACAGCTTAATACATCTGCCAGCCAGTTAATCTAGATACTGTAAGTTAAATTGTATTTTTCAGGGGAAAAAAAGTTAAATGTGATATATTTCTTTTCCCCAGAGGTTTTCTATGAAGGGTAGTTTAGCAAAATATAATTCTTTGACTACAACAGTGCTCTGCAGATGCATGGTCCAATGCCTGCTGTATAGCAGAGACTCTGAGAAGTGTTAGAAACAGTGAGATAATGAATTGAGAATGCAAGAAAAAGGGCAGAAAAGATCAAAAACATTCAGGACTGGAGTTTTTAGCAGTAAAACTATGTGACGTGTGAATATGAGACCCAGACAGACAGAGAGAGAGAGAGAGAGAGAAATGTGAAGGAGGGATTGAAGAACAAAGGGAATAGTGGCTCTGAAAGAGGGGGTCAGGAGATTACCTAAATTGTTGAAAAGAGTTCAGAGTGCGACAGGCATGACCCTTGACAATGAGGGAGCTGCAAGAGTTGAGATTCAGGGAGGAACAAGTGGGTGAGAGGCGGTGGATATCATTTCTCTGAGGCAGTGACCTACAGTCTGGGTCTGGCACCGGCACACCGTTTAATCAAAGATATTCAAATTGCCTTGGTTGACCTTTACAAAGGGTCTCACTTGGAGACTTTACTTGGCTGACAAAATCACAACACTTTGAAGATATTATAGCAAGTAAAAACCATTGATGTGTGTGAAGGCCAGGCAAGTTAGAACAGATAAGCTTTGTCTGTGGTTTCAGCCACACACACAAACAGAACCATGAAAGTGGAGGCACACACACAATCACCAAAACCTGACTATCATATCTCTGACAGCTTCCAACATCATCTGGCAAACATGCTTTTACCAATTCACGCTTGACATGTACAAATACAGCGTACGTTCAGTATACTGAGGTACACTTGTTATTTCAGCCTTTGGAAGCTTTGGAAAGCAACGCAAATTACTAATAGTGTTGTTCAACAAAGCCAAATAGAGGAATTTGTACCGTACAGTAGGCCTGAAGTCAGACAGTCACAGCATTGTATACATTATGCTAGTGGAATAAGAAATGAAGAGGATTACATCGCCTCTACAAAGCAATTGTTAAATGCATCTGAAAAATAATAAAAAGCCAAGAGAATTTCTCCAATGCTACAAACAACAGTGCAAAAGAGGACATGGGTGACACATGGTACTTTTTTTTTTTAACTTACAATAAGTAATTATTTATCTTCTCCGCAAGTCTAGTAAAAACTTATATTTAAAAAATGACTGTGTTTATCTGCAGTGCTAATGACAGCTGCATGACAATTGACTAATGCGGTGGCTACCACTGTATTTGGTTCCTCCTCTTTCCACACCAATCAAGCACCCTGTCCACCCCTGGCAGCCTTTCCACCCGTCAGTCGGCATCCCCAGCCTCAGTCCTGTGACCATCTGCTCTGTTCAGCTGGCACCACTGCAACATTACCAGAGGCATGAATGGTGGTTGGTAAGATGGTGTGTGTGTGTGTGTGTGTGTGTGTGTGTATAGGCACAGTTTGTCAGTGGTTCAACTTTGAATATCATTTTTGCCAGCAACTGTCAACTACGTTGGTCTGACAAACATAGCCATTATTACCATCACATCACTTCTTGTCTCCATCACATACTTTTCCTAAATGTGTTGAAACTTTATAAAAAGCATCATCCATTTGCTTTAGAGACTTTAAATGATGTCCCTGACTTTCCTTTACAGGAATAAACCAACAAATCTTGTCATCACTTTGGGTTACACCTTCCAAAAGCCAATATTTGTTTCTTTACCCATCCATACTTCAATTTGTTTTTAGTTATCATATTTACCTTAACTACTATACCACATACTTTACAGTATGTAACAGTAGTTTTCTTAGATTTCTACAGCTGAATATCTTTGGGGGTTCTGGGCTGTTAAAAACAAAACAAAACAAAACAAGGAATTCCTGTACAAGATGTTACTTTGGGCTTTGGGAAATTACAATGGTTTTATCTAAGATTAAATCAGATGTTTTTGGTGCAAGTGCTAATGAATGGTGTCTATTAGCATCATCCATTTGTATTTCACCTGTTATTATGACCTTTATTCAAACATGATGTACATTTTTCAGAAGCCAAAGTTGATACTCTCCACATCCAAGTGCAAGAATTTCATAAAATAACAAAAAGAGAAAAACGAGAACAGTGGACTACTGAAGAGCTGAAGGTGCCCATATACTGAACAACACTGAAAGCTCATAAACTCCCATACTGCTTTATGGATCACTGGTCCAGCAAAGATGAGCATGCTTGCTCTGCCGTGATTGTCATGATTCGGTTCCATTGATCCTGTTGTGCTTTTATTTTGACATTACTTCCCATTTTGCTTCACCACAGTTTCAGTCTTTTTACTTTCATCATCGCCCACATTCGTTTCACCTGCTCCTTATTGTTTACACCTGTTTTCACCGCATTATAAGCAGCCTTCCCCCACCATTCCCCTGCCAGATTGTTCTAGACTCCAGCTCTGACTCTCCAGTGGTTTTTGGTTTTGGTATTTTGTGTTTTGACCTGGATTGTATACGTTGATAATTCTGTTTTGTCTTGCCCTCTTCTGTCGGACTGCTGCCCTGTGTATGAATTATCAGACTTCTCTTGTGGACTACGAACTTTGGATTCCCTTGGATGTATGTGTTTGCTGACTCTGACCACGGACTGTATTATCAACTCATATGTGCGTTGTCCAAAAGCCAATATTTGTTTCTTTACCCATCCATACTTCAATTTGTTTTTAGTTATCATATTTACCTTAACTACTATACCACATACTTTAATGGGGTTCGCCACAACATTTTTGGCAGCTTCACGCGCCGATCCTCACAGTGATCCTCCATACTGCTGTGAATACAGGCTATGTAGGACAGAATGGCAGTGATGAGTTGTAGTGATAAACGCGATTTGCTGACCACACACAGATAAGTTATTGCATGAAATGATTTAAGAGCAGCTACAAGCTCAAAAGAAGATCTAAAGTTGGTCTGTGATAGTTTTTTCAGTGTGTGTGTGTGGAGAGATGAAAGGTTAGCAAGCATCTGTAATAACCTGATACTGAAGCCTACTTGCAGACATGTGTGTGTGTAAGATCAGAGGGGAGAGGTGAAATGTGAGGGGAAAACAACTCTCAAAAGCCAATAACAGCCAGCTGCGCACACACACACACAGAGAAATGGCACTTATTTAGGGTGAGTAAGCAAGGTAAAGGCAGGCACAGAAAAAAGAACTGTAAGAGAGAGACATGATCTTGTATTTGTGAGTAATAACATCCGGGAGCATTAGTATTCATATGGACACACTCTACTGTAAATGCTCTTTTCTCTGGGCTCATTTTGAAAATGTCTAGATTCATCTGCTCTACCTCTTTCTCTCTCTTTTCCTAATTTCTTTTTCTCTGCCTTTAGCCATCCTTCTCTGTCTCTGCCCTCTTTCTCTACTCCATTCTTTTTTTTCTCGCAGGCTCAGCAGTGGACAGTGTAAGTATTGAGCTGTTGCTTTTTCCCCCTTAACGCATCGAGTGACACATGGCCATGTCCACTTGACAGCTCCTGTGTGTGTGTGTGTGTGTGTGTGTGTGTGTGTGTATATGCCTGTCTGTGCCTGTCTGTGGTAGGGGAGCAGATATCTGTCAGTTTGGACAATAGGGGGCATCTCTACAGATGTTGCAGACAAAGACAGGTGAGGCAGCTCATGAGATTCACAACATTATCCTGTGAGTCTTATGTTTGCACCTTTTTTTTTGGCACAGTAGCCTTGAATTCTTTAACCATTAAGGTAAAGCTTCTCTGACCTTATCCAAGTTTGAATACTGTGAGCTTAAACTGCACTATACTACAGTATGTTCATATGTCAGGACACCTTGTCATGCATCACAGATCACATTTATTCAAGCTGTCAGAGTTGTTCTCAATTTTAATTTTACATTAAAGGTAGAGACTCAAAGACAAACCGCTCTACCTCTCCCTGCTCCGCTCAGCGCTTCACCTACATCTACGTTCTCCCTCTCGGCTAATGCTGGAACAGGGGGCTTGCTAGTGTGTGAGTTGGTCAGTGATGGCTTCCAGCAGCTAACACTAGCTTGAAGCCCTGGTGCAAGAGAAGCAGGAGACCAGATGTGTGTTCATATACTGACTGCTAGATGTGAGCTCCTACCGCTGACCTTAGCCTTCTCTGATTGGTTAGAAAGGCAAGGCTAGCTCAAAAACTTAGGAGGGAATATCACTGCACTGCTGTCAGGATCAGATATGATATGAAGCATGTATCAACCTAGAATGCCTGGCAAGCACATCACACAGTCCAGTCATGTCTAGGTGCAGCAGGGCAGATATTAAACTCCAGTGTGTCTTTATGCCACTGTTCTCGTTCACTCTGACGTCCGTGTCCTTATAACTAACACATAATGAGTGATAACAAAGGAGAGACTAATAATGACCTGGCAGCCCTTGCAGGCACGGGTGATTTGGTGGACCTTTTTTGTGTTTTTTATTTTTTTTTATTTTTTAACAGACGGAGCACATTTGTCAATGTACATATGTGTTCACTCCAAGAGGCTTGTGTGAGTGTGTGTGCGCAGGCATGTGTTTGAGCACATACAATAAAAAAGTTATTAGCTGCAAGACCCAGTTTCACTGCTGCATTTTCCTTTGTTTTTATTTTTGAAA